CCAATGGTCCAGCACTTGGAGGAGCGACACTCGCAGCGCTTATGTCCCGTGTGTGCGACGCCTTTCGATCTGTCACTCCCCGGCCATAAGAACTACTTTCAGATGCACGTCGACAACCACTTCGACACACACCTCCCGCACCGGGACTCGAACCCTCCCCATATGAGCCCATAAGGTGGGGCTCGCGATTCAGACGCATATGTTTTTCGAGTATTAATTTCTATACATAAGAGTTATAACTTTGACACAATTTATTGATTTCATATAATTGACTAATTATTAAGATTGTTATGATATATACGTAAATATATTTGATTTGATTTCCTATTATTTCCTATCAAATATTCATTATTATTATTTGTAGTAATTTTTTGTAGACTTTATGATTTGTAACGTATATTCGTGTGACATTTTTAATTGTCATAAAATTTCAATTTGATTCAAGCAATAAGTCATTCAAATTTGTTATTTCTATCAAATTTAATCCAATTTGATTTGAAATTTGCTTCTCTATTGGATCATAATTATTGCAAATGTTTTGTTGGGTAATACTTTCGAGAAAATACGAAACAATAAAGCTATTTGTTATTGCAATCACTAACATTGAGTTTTCTAACTTTGATATTTGTATATTTAATATACAGCTCTAAATTTGTTTGCTATTTAACCCTTCAATTTATGACTTATTCTGATGTAATATGACTTATTATTATTATCCTGTATTTATGATTATAAGTTTGGTTAACAGTAAACAAAATTTATATTTTTTCAACATTACTGTATGTTATGTGTGTTTATTTACTTGCTTAAACTTGAAAAATGTAAAAACTATTAAATATGAAAATAAAATATTTGAAAACTTGGAGTTTGCATAATTAATTTGCCTAATTTATTTTATAACTTTAAATATCGGTAGCTTTGATAGGTTTGATATTTATTTTGAGAAACAGAATATTCTTTAATAAATGACTGAATATTTACGGCAATTTGACTAAGAATTTGTTCAGAATTGTTTATGATTCATAAATTATGAATAATGTAAATAAGACGATAATAATTAATTTAAAAACATTTTATTCAATATATTTATATTTTACTCATAAATATTATCAACAATTTATATACAAAGAGACAAAACAATTGAAAAGAATCGACAAAAAACAAATATTGTATTTACAAAAAGATTTATTTATATATTTATATCAAAACAGTTTTGTTGTATATTATCATCCATTCATAACTTTGGAGAGGAAAACACTTTTCAAGTCTTGTTTTATGAAATCTTATAATATTCGGGCATTTTATTGAATGCAATAAAACACTCGACATTTAAGCGCAAATGTTTGGCAAAATTGTTTTTGTTTTTATTGATACTTCAAAATAACAGTTAAAATAATCTTAAAATATTTGGCATCACTTCCTATGGCTAGTCATGTAATGAGCGGCGAATTCACGTGATAAACGGCTTCTCAAAACATATAATCGATAAGTTTTATGCAAATAAAGTGCTGAAGGAATATGTAACTGGTGAATAAGAAAAACTAAAAAATTTAATCATAATTCTGAGCCAAGAACTCATTTGTTTTAGAAAATAAAACTTATATTTTATTGGAGGGAAAACAAAATGATAAGAATGTTAGCAATGAATAGTCGGATGTGTTTTATTTGAGGGCAAAATATAGCATAAATTGTGTGCAGAATATTCTGTACTCTCCTTTAAGACTCGCGTTTACGTTAAGTATTAATAATATATTATGTTTTTGAGCACAAATTCTCGCATTCAAGTTCTCACAGTAGAAGTTAGGTAAGAGTTAAAGTTTATAGCAAGTAGAGGGAACGGTAGTATAAGTTTTAATGTGTCGCTGGTGTGTGCGTCTCTAATTCAATGGCTCGTTATGAATGGTCAGAGAAAGCAAACTAATCCCAAAAACTTTTAGTTTTTCAATTCCTAGTGAAATACATAGTATATGAGAGGCTGAGGGAGCCCTAAGAGTCGACACAACACTCGCATAACTTCTATATCTGTAACTCTTCTGTAATATCGCAGCTGTTGTTATAGTTTTTGAAAATCGTTTCATCAGTTTTTTCGCTCAGTTATGCTTCTCTTACTTCTCGATCACAACTTCTCTCTTATATAACGTATAGCTATAGCCATAAAACTTATGTCTTATATATTATATGTCTTTATCTGTGCTTTTTTGTTTGGCGTTTTCAGATATGTCTTATTCCTCATCAACTGCTGTCCATATCGTTGATCTCTCGATGCATTCCTCGCCTTTTAGTGACGCCATTCTCGCTCTCAGTTTTTTCGTATCATTTGTTACTATTGTTTGCGTTTTTATGTTTTTTGATCACAAAATTAGATATATATTAAACTCCAATACAAATCAATTAAGACTATTCTTTGTATATGAACTGCAAAAAAAACAAAATTCTCTCTCTTTTTATATCTCTTTTAGCCGTTTATTCACTTCCTATTCATTCAGTTTGTATTCTCGTCTTTGATATGATTTCTTCGACTGATTTACTCTCTTATTCTTATTCTTCTAAACTTCTTGTGTTGCCATCACTTCTCGCACACACAATACACTCGCATAAGAGATAATAGTAAAAACATTTTGCTTTTCCCCAAAAAAAATGCTTTGAATTATGTTTTTTAAGAGCAAAACTTTGTGTTTGTTTTTCGCTATTCTTTTCATTATTCTCTCCGTCTATTGACAGCAGAGAATAGTTTATATATATTTTATTGTCTGTTTGTGTCGAAAGACTTCTCCTTATAATACATCACAACAATTGTCAAAGAAATTGTTTGATTCCATTATTTTGATGGCATTCCTCTCCTATCCTTTCCTTTCTCTCTGTCTCTTGTGTTTGATTTTTTTGACTGCGAATTACAATCACATATAAATGCATTAATGTTTCGCTTCATTTATCATTTCATTCATTCGGCTATATATTTAATATATGTCTCTCTTTTTGTTGTCTGAATACTCTTTCGTTTGTTTCTCACTCTTCACTTCCCAATCGTTTATCCCATTTAACAAACTATATGTGTGACCACCGATGCCATCGTCAGCTCATAACACCGCCATTCATTAGCTGGTGATGCCTGTGCTGTATCGGGTGGCCAATCACCGGTACAGGCATTACAGTCTGCCACCACATTAACGATAGGATTGTCATTATCGTCAATAATAGAAAGTGTTGTGTCTTTCCATTTGTTGGAAACAATGTTGAGGACAGACCTAAAGGAAACAGAATTTGTTTTATAATGAGAGACATTATCATTAATGACTTTCAAATGTGAACTCAATATTAAATTTTAAAGAATATCTCTCGATCTAAGAGTCATTTCCAGCCTTAATATCGGCAGAAACTACTCGTTAGACAAGATGTTGGATATATTGGATAAGACATTAGCGGATAATTGAGTGCACAATACAATGGATACATACCTCGAGACACTGAGAAACTGGCGACTGTGACGTTCACCGACACTAATGCATTGTCGATGCCTTTTGGGTTCATTACTATGAATAGTATATCTCCGGAATCCTCGGGCTTTACGGACGATATCTCAAACGTCGACGTAAAGCAATTCATTGAATCACTTGTCTGTCAATTAAATTAAATTAAATATATTTATTAAGAGACATACAATAAAACATACAACAATGAGATAATAGTATAGTACTATTGTCTAATAAATTAGCCAGAAATGTGTGCATTAATTGAGACACGGATCTAATCTGAGGCAATATTTTGTCATTTATTGCCTCCAAATTTAATTTCTCTGGCGTTTGGACGATAGGAAAAGGGGTTTAGTGTATATGAAAAGTGATAAATCGCTGACAATAAGCGAAAGAGAGAGAGAGAGAGAGAAATACAAACCATAATTAATTCTTTGGTAGTGTAGGGGCCGATCGTGCGCTTAGGCATGAGTGCTAAGTGCCGGTGAATCCAATAGACCTTTTTAGGTCGTGGCGAACAGCAGAACCGGGCGGCTAATGATATCTGACTGCCCACCAGCGCTATGACCGTCCGATTGATCGACTCGATGACCGGTTCGCCAGTATTGATGCGATTTCCGGTGCACTCCCTGTGCTGTTGTATGGATTGCGGACCGTTTCGCTCGTTATATCTCTGATGAGATGAGCCACTGATGGACGTCTCGAATGATTCTTTGGACGCTTCGTAGGCTTTCATAAGCGCCGCTTCGTTGGGCTCACTGTCCGCCACAATCCGCTCCTTATTATCGATCGTATCGGTGCTCAACGGCGGCGGCACTAATGGTGAGCGCAATATGTGCTCCAAATCCTGGAGTTCGGCTGAAAGGAGAGGAGAGAGAGAAATAAATTTAATAATAAATTATACGATAAATGAAATGAAAGATAGATATGAGAGTTAATGCCAGACTGAGTATAATAGTCGTACAGAACTAATAATAGAGTTTTGTATTCAGTTTATTAGCCCTGATATAAAAAAAGTAAAGTCATTTTCGGGGAGATATCATATCAACAGCAATATAATTGTCTCGTGTATTATGTATTTAACAAAACAGTCGTTTCCACGAATGTCACGTATTTTAAAGCTTACGATCAGCTTTTGAATATATATTTTTAAAGCGATAGGCAAATGACATGCGATTAAAACAAAAAAGTTTTATATGTGCGCTGAAAACTGCGAGATAAGCACATAAATCCATGTGCCGTAAGGGCTGTCCCTCGCCATCAATGAGCCCATAAAATAACACACGAGATAACACTCACCGGGTTTGCGAACATTAAGATAGTATCCAAACGACGAGAACTGTCCAAATTGGTGGTCAGTCGTGCACTTATACCAACCGGTGTCCGACTTTGATATGTGCGAGAAATACAGAGTACCGTCGCTCTCGGTCTCAATCTGTGGAAGACTAGCGTTTGATTGACTGGGTTCGGCATCCCTGTGCCATTTGGCAGCGGATAATGGATTGGCGTCTATATCGCACTTTAACGAGACGGGCATTCCTTCCAGTATTGGGTAACCAAAGCCCGGGTCACGAGTGATGGAGAACGCGGGCACGTCTGCAGGGCATCGGTAGGTGTTTTCAGTGGCAATGGGGGAGAGAGAGAAAGAAATTAGAAATTAATTACAAAAAAGCTAAATTCAAATATTCAAACACATAAGACAAATGGTCGACACTAAAAAAAGTATGGTGTTTAAAAATGTTCATATCAATGAAAAACTAATTAATTCGTGTTTTAATTTTTTGGCTGATAATTGAATCCCAAAGTCTATTAATTGAATTTTTCTACCGTTTCCCTACTCGTAGTTGTAAATCTGTTTGTGTAATGCATTCAATGAATTTTTAGGGCGAAAAAATATAATTAGTTTTTCTCTGTAATACCTATTCATTGAGTGATTTCACTGTAGATTTATTCCGTATTTTTTAGCATTTTGTTTGCTGTGAAACACTGAAATTAATCACTGGTTTTTGCGTGTTTCTCGAGGTGTACTAAAATAACAACTGAATTTAATCAATAGGATTGGTGTTTATATAATATAATGCAAAAGTGTGCCTATCAAACTAGATATAATGACATTCACAACACATTTATGTGACTATTTTGATGTGAAGTATGTATGAGTCGATGAGAACGACACCAAAAAACAAAATAACAAAAAAGTAGAGAAAGACTTTAATGAGTTTGTTGTAAAAGCAAAGCATTATATTCCGGGTATATATTCGGTGTATTATATAACTGAATAGTAGGGCTATAAGTGTATCTCAAATGTCGTTAATTCTCATTAACACAAAGAGATTCTTGTATTTAATTTATTTGTTTATTTGATTGTGTTTTTCTCGCAGACATAGTACGGAATACACGAATCGTTTGGCGCAAAGGGAACTGGAGTTTAAGTGTAAATCCAATACATACATAGTATATCGAATGAGGCACTGGCAGTGACCGGGTTGAGCCACGACACGTGAAATACTTGACATATAATTACTTTCTTGTGATAGTCTTGTGTGGCATTAATTGTTAATAGGCTTATAGCCAGCGAGACGTCCTCCTCGGCCGAGTACTCCATCAGTATTTTGCTCTCTTGAGTGATATTCTGGTGCTGGAGATACCAGAAGATATGTCGCACGGGAGGTGAGGCCCCCCTTACCACACAATTCACGTTCACTACAGTATTCTCGCGTATAGTTAGCGTCGAGTGGTTTGGCATTCGTTTGCCTTCAAACTCGATGTACGGCTCTTCCGGTATATCTATTGGGAAATGGATTACAGACACAGAGAGGGGAAGGGTTGAGTCAGACGTGTGATTGTAATTCAAAATGAAAGGCAAATAACAAAAACAAGAGGAATATATTGGATATACATATAAGAAATGGGAGAAACAAGAATCGATTAGTCACTTACTGGTGACAACTAATCTCATGACGAGAGCCTTCTGTTTGACACTTCCCCGGCTGTCCAGTTCCCAGCACTCCCACAAACCCTCATCTATTTTGGTCACTCGATTGATGGTCAGCCCTGTCTGTCCATCGTTCGTGATATTCCAGTGCCGTCTCTGAGTTGTACTGAAGTCCTATTTTTGGCACAAAATACAAGATATAAGACATGAAAAGGCGAATGATATATAAATAACTTATAGATATCTATAATATTAATCAATAATCAAATTGTAAGCCAATATTTTTGGCGATCAATCATTCGCTGCATTCACTCCGATATTCATTGATTATATCGCATACATTGCATACATTGTACACAAAAACACTAAATTCTCATGAATTATAAACTAATGCTTCAAATCTATTATCTATTGTGCACTACATTAGCGATAAAAGCGAGTGAGGAATTGTATTATAAAACTAAAATTGATTGAAAATTGAAATTCAATTTGAATTATTAAAAGATTGAGTGCAAAAAATTGATTTTGTTTTTAATCCTAACGACAAATGACAAGAGACTGATAGATAATGTGCTAATACTTTAGTGACAGCGACGGCAGAGAGAGAGAGAGAGAGAGAGAGAGAGAGAGAGGGAAAGGATGTGGAAAAAGAGTAGTATTTGAGTGAATCAGTGAATTCACAGAATCGTTGATACGTTAAATACGGGGTTAATATGTTTGAACGCAAACCCCTAACATTTGGATGGCTGTGCCATTTGAATCACTCATTCACTTACCAACAGAATTGGTTTTCCATTCTGAACCCATTGCACCGAAACACCCGGTGTGAGCCCCACACTACACGGTATGTTGATCCTATCGCCCGGATTAATCATCTTGGTAATCGCATCAGTATTTGCCAATGAATTATTAAATCCATTATCTCTGGCGCTTCTCGGACTGCACTCCGCGTAATCTGTTTGTAATGAAACAAATAGAGACAAAAGTTTTAGTTTTTTTTTATGTTTTTTCAAATTCATGGCATTTGAATACAAATGTTTTCATATGAATACTTAAATGTATATATTTGTATTTATAATTCATATTTATGTCATAAATTATTTTATTCTCGTTATGTACTGAATATATAATCGTTAAAATAGTGATCATTTGTTTCACTTGTTTTTTGTGTGGTATGAATGCAATAATCAATTATTAGTTGTTTTTTCACTTCATATATCTATCTATCGCTCACAACTAAACTCAAACTAATGATTAGAATCTGTAATAGTAATCATGATTTAGAGAGTGAAAGTGAGTGAATGGGCTCAAAGCCCCAGACATCCCTGTGCCCAGTAATGTACTGTCAAAACTCATTTCCTGTCCTTAAGTTAGCATATAATGGATTGTAGGACCAGGAGGTTCAAAAACACTGGTCTATCCATCACTGGTGCACTGGTGGTAAATCAGTGCCGGACTCCCCAACCAAACACTCGTTCAGATGTATCAATAATAATACACAACAATCGCATCCTTTTTGTGCACCCATTCCCACACCACACCACCAACTCATACATTATATCACATCAAATGTTATTAAATCACAGATTTTATTGTCAATGACATCTTATTTCTTGTAACCAATTATGGTGTATTTAATTGAAACCAAACACTTTCTATATATTACTATTACATATTGTATTATGTGATGAATTAATAGCTAGGAGTTTGTAGGACTGATAGGAAAAGTTCAGCATTTGTTGAGTCTAACGACCCGATCGTATAATCAATATGTGTTGCAGTAGTTCTGCATATTTTAAATTAAATTATGACTTTTTAATGAACAAAAAGTGTTTCAAACTTTCAATTAAATTTTTTGTAAATTATTTGATAAATTATCAAATTTGCCAAAAGGTTTGTAGAAATTAAAATTTACAGATCAGTTCAATTCCTGAATGCATAATAAGCACATAAATACAGTGTAAGGAAAGTGGTATTCATTTTATTGATATAACAATTGTTGCCATTAATTAAAGTTAATGTTTAGGACATTAAAATAGTTTTGCATTATCAGCACAAAAAATGCTAAAAAAAACTTTAGATAAATTTGGAGCAAGAAAATAAATCTATAAAAAAGAGATTTAAAGCGATTTAATCGCCAATAAGTGGTGTAATTAATTGCTATGAAAAATAAAATATTTCAGTGCCTTATAAAATATAAAATGCGAGTTTTATTTGAAATTTTACGAATCATTTCAGACATTAAAGAATTGGGGATTTTTATAATACAAAGTATTATAACTATTTATATTCATTGCCCTCCGAAAATACACCATCACTACCACTCCCTATGCCCTTCAATATATCAATGAAAAATAGGCACAAGTGGTGCAGTGGTCTGTAAAGATAACATACATTTTTAAAGTCAACTTATTTTTTATATATACACCAAGTTTTGGAGTCGAAAAACTCAATTTCTGGCAGAAAATTAAGAAATGATAACTTTTCGCAGCGAAAATGTGTTCACTAAAAAAGCTGCCAAAACATTAATCACCAGAAAGTTATGGTTTAATAGTTGAAAAGTCGACACTTAATAAAAAATATCAATTTTCACTTGTTTTTAATGAAATGTATTAACTTTTTTCGATCTTAAGTTTCGCCCGAAAAGCAAGAAGAAGACAATTTTTCACTCAATTTTTGCCCCTTTTCTGAGTGTAAACACGAATGCGTGAGAAAATCAAAACATATATTTTCATATAAAATATATCATAATTTTCTATCAAATTTTGTTAATAAAAAATTTCTCAACAAAATAGATGACTTTATAAGTTAGATACGAAAATCACTAAACCTTTGCCTACACTTAAAGTCTGAAATTATTTTTGAAAACTTCTATTGAAATGCAGCAAAAAATGCAGAAATCTTTGACCTGAAGAGTGAGTGAATGAGAAATAAAGAAAAATTATTTTATTATTTCATTCGCAGCTTCGGGCAAATTATCGGTGATTTCAAAGCGAAGTACTTCAGCGAAAAAAGTACAGCAAAAAAATTTGTTCACATTTTAAAAGCCTTATTATTATCTTATGTATGATTGGAGTCACTGGTGGCCAGACCTGTCATACATTCAGGGGGTATCTCAACAGTGAATCTCTTGAAGTAAAACAAAAATGAGTGACAAAATGAGCGAAGAGTTTATTGAAAATGTTATAATCATTGGCTTTGGATGGCAACCACTTTCAACGTATGTATCACATGAATGCATACAAGTCTGAGCGGACACAACAACCCCACCCTATCTGTCCTCACGAGTGATTAAAAAAAACTTTTCATTTCAGTCATCGATGCGATACGTTAACCGAGAAAAACATCAAATTGAGTATTGAATTGATTGCTGGAAATCTATTTCAATCAATTACTTGTGTCTATCATTGAGTGGAGTGTTGTGTGAAATCATGTGTAGAAAGAGAGAGAAGGAGATGAGAGAGCAGTGAAGGGAGGGCTGGAGAGAGAGAAATTAAATTTGAGAAAAAATTGAATCTTAATTTGACAGAACCTCTAAACGATAATTTATGTCTCAAATGCATATACAATAAGGCAGTGGAGAGAGAGAGAGAGAGAGAGAGAGAGAGAGAGAGAGATCATTAGATTTATAGTTTCGACACAAAGATTGTTATTCCGTTTGAATAAATTTAATCAGATTTCAAATCAAGTATTAACTAAAGAGAAAAACTTGTCTTTTATACAGATTTTCTATTTATAAACACAGAGAGGATTTCAATTGGATTGTAAATTATTTACTGATTATTTACTCCAAACACATACTGAAAATATTGTATACAATTTTCCATATAATTTATAATTTTTCCATAAAAGAGCAAAAAATTTCATTTAAAAATGCATTCAAAAGAGAGATTTATTTATTTATTGTTGGCTTAAACTTCACAATTTATTTGAACAAATAGTATATCGTATGAAATGACTTTTTATATAATTTATCGATTTATTTATTTGGTTTACTTTTATACTATATATGGCAATACAGAAATACACTATTATTGAGTTTAAATAAATAAATATAAATAACTTAATATAGCGTTCGTTTGCATCAATAATTCACCCGTTGTTTAGAAATACTAAATAAAACACACAAAATAAAAAACAGTTTTTTCGCTCAAAACTCAAGTTTAATATCGCAAATGGTATTTGTTTTATACGAAAACATTTTTTCTCATCTCGTTTTCTGTACATTAATTTTTTGTTAAAACAATTCATTGAATTTTATAGAAATAACGCACATGAAAACGATAACCAATTTGTGACAAACAAATTGAGTTTTTGAGTATTACTGCTGAAAAACAAACACAAAAACTTTTTTAGGGACAATAGTTTTCAATCAATAAAATTGGTTGAGAGATGGAGAGAGAGAGAGAGAGAGAGAGGGAGAGAGAGAGAGAGATCGTCGTCTAGTTTTATAAAAATAATTTTTACGGATGTATACCGTATTCGTTACTATCATTTGATCGACATTTAAAAGAAATAAATTTTATTGAACGCTCGCAAAATTGTATCACAAAAATCTCTAAAACTTCACAAAACGGAAAAACTTTTCTCCACTCATTTTATGCCGAGTAAAGCATTTCTTAGGCTTCCCTTCCCTTCTGGTGCTACAGATCTTTCTCGAAGACATCATCTCTTGAGAAGACATATTCAAGTATTAAATTTATTCGCGAAACCTATCGATCAGAAGCCCTACACATGAATGAGGAGATGAGACCAAGAAATTGCTTATTCGTAGCCATACGTGGGCTTACAATAAGAGAAAAACTCAATACACTTTTGATTACCAAAAATGATTGTAAAAAACTTTTTCAAAAGTATTGTCTGTCCATTACTGTATGTTCGCGTAATATGTTTAAGGGCTGAATAAGGGCAAGAAATTGGTACTCATTGTGAAATCAAATCAATTTGGTCTTCAAATATATAAATCATTTGAGGGATAGTCAGGTCGTGCATACGGAATGGCACTAGTATTTCATGTCACACTAAGGGATACCCTCCCATACTTTGATGTATAGTTAAAAGTTAAGTGAAATAGAGATGCCATTGATTGCTAATTCTTAATGGTATATAATATATATTATATTCTTGTGGCAAAATAAATATATTTCACTGGAATTGAGTGTTATTTACAAATAAACCTTTTATTGAAGTCTTGTTACCCCACTGTTCGACATATAAATTATATTATAAGTGAAGTGTATTTACAAAAACCATAAGCCATTAGTCAAACTCATCAATATTGCTGAACAGAGAGAAAAAAGTGGGGGACAGACAGTCGTGTCGTATATACGGTATATGTATTGATAATAGAGTACATCGGGGATAGGGATGCGATTGTGAGAGAGAAATAAAGTACAAGAAAAGGAAAACTCTTATTACAGACAAAAAGCCCACCCTTTTTCACAATAGAGAGAGACTCGGAGAAAATTGTCATCAAATAAATTATATGATTGAATAAATGGATGGCATATAAAAGTTGGGGAGAGAACCGTTATATACAAAACATATAACGAAAATATGATATATATTTTGCCATAATATAATATGATGAGAAAATATGGTCTTACGAAATGGTAATATAAGAGCTCAGGCAGATCTAAATATATTAATGTCTCAACATTAAAGCTATTTATATTTTTCACTGTCTTTACAGAGCCATTGAATTTACATCATCTCCGAGATTGCTATAAACGTTAATAAAGTCGACTATTATGATGACTATTCACTCATTTTCATTGTAATATCACTTTATTTAATGCCATAAATCCCTTCATAAATAAATATATGATTTTCATGCAATTGCATCTAATTTTCGTATTTAAATAAAATATCTTTT